TCCCCCAAATGCCCAATATTTACATACAGATTTGCAGCAACATTGACATCAAATTGATTAGTTGTTGCAAAACTGTTAATAGATCACTTCATTTGCTTTTAACTTTTTCGGTTTTCATATAGATAAGTTATTTCCGATGCGGCGAAAAAAATCCAAAATAATACATGTTTCTAATGTTCATTTCACAGGAAATATATATAATCAAATGGATATTATCCATATCGATTAACTGTTTAATATAGCTGTTTTATCAATTCCAAATTCCAAGATGCAAGTTTCCAATTTTTTCAGTTCCCTTTCAATTCTCCTTTAATGATAAGGAATCTAGTGGCGTTACAAGTAACTGCACAGTTTAAATAGAAAAGCAGGCTTCTCGAAAAATCTCCAATTTATTAGTTGATTGTATCCAATTAATAATTAGGAAGCAAAATTAGCAACATTCATCTCTGAACGCGAACTATCTGTCTAATACTCAAAAAAGAAGCAAATAAAATTTCTGTATGTTCTTTTGCATGTTTTATGTTTTGCTATCTATTTGCATTGCTTCTTTGATAATAATTAATTTGCCTATTGAGAGGATCCTTTACCCTTATCCTATACAATCATAAAAATTCATACTTCAAAACCTCAAATTATAGATGGTCAATTACACTTTAGTGAAACGCCGTAAATATTCTGTGGCCACCTCAAGGAGTATCTGAACGTCCTTTACAAGATTTTATGTGGTTCCTGATAATGCGGTTTGAGTCCTGTGAAATTTTAAAAGTGCGAGTAGAATGTTTTCCGTTTATTAACAGCTGGTTCTTCATCTTCTCACTTCAAATGTATTTGTAACAGTTCAATTTTTGCTTTACCATACAACGTATTGACCGAAACTCATTACGACATACTGAAACTTCCATAAGTTGTTTGCTGTTGTTGTGAAAAGCATCGTAAAGTTTAACCTTTTATCCTCTAATTCTAAAGGCAAAACAGATATTAGGCAGTACAGATCAACATGTTGTTCATTAACTGAATTTAGGTAATTAAAGTTCCTGATGATTTATTTTCAGGTTATTTAGAACGTCACCCACTAAACCGTCTACAATATTTATACAGAGCGATCCTCCCCTATTCTTAGGATGTATCTACAAACCCTCAGTAATAAAGTTGGTATTTTTTTGGCGTGTTGACGTAATTTTCCCAAAATGCATCAAATATTTTTCCCAATAATCCAATCATTTGGAGAAAGTTATATTCATACGTTTACTAAAGTTCATGCTGAATCAAGTTTAGACTGGAAAATTCCGTCCTAACAATCATTTTATCAGCTGCGTGTTCGCGGGTATTCTTCTACCAATTCGAAACTGTTGTGAAACTTCATATGGTTGTTCTTATTTAAGTACTGTTCTCTGAGTTCTCGCGCTTGTTCCTGTTTTATAATTGTGAAATTTGGAATTGAAATATCTGCAGAATAAATGCTATTCTTGGTGGTAATGAATCTTCATTTATAAGTAGTTTTGCAACTGTCTCCAACCACTATCTGAGTCGACCCAGTTAGCAACGTGATACTTTTATGTGATCCGGCACATTTCAAAATTACAAAATGTGCTTTCCCTTCAACTCGCATACGCTTTTGCGTTTTTGTCGCGTTGAATCCATTAGCTGTGATATCTTCACAAAATAAATGACTACAATGAACCGATGTCGGCAAAAACCCTTTCGAGAAATTTCACATAAATCGCATTTTGCGGACGTAAAGAAGAAACAACATCAACAGCGTCAGACAAACAAATAGGATGGCACAAATATCCGTACATCATTATAAATTCAGGGCATTTTTCAAGCGTCTCTTTTACCCCCCTCGCGTTGGCAGTAATTCTCCTTTCTACTCATTCTCACTAAAAGCACGTACGAGAGCTTACGTGCCTCTACAGTGGGGCAATAAATAAAGATGATAATCCTTAAATTGACTAAACACATCACTCATCGAAAGTTTTATATTATTGTTAATCAAATTTCGAACGCCTGTTACAATTGATTAAATCGCCATAATTTTTATATTAAAAAGCTTCCGGTAAGTCCTCAATTTTTTGATATTTCTTAAATGGCACCAACCGAAAGTCGATAATTTTGAAAGCACAATTATCTAATTTTGTGTAACAAATCAGTGTAATAACGTATAACCAACATAAGAAATTTCAATTAATTTTCCTAACGCGCCTGCAGTAAATGATTGCCTCAAACTCTACAGATGAATAATACCTTTGAATAATTTGTCAAAATCAAATGTTGAGACAAAGATTTTGGAGTTTTTTTCTGCTAAACTTAAGAAACCGTTTTCATTTAATATGGTGGTTTCAGCATCAGCCCACCATTGTCTCGTAAATGTTAGACAACATTAAAACTTTACGATTTTCTGCAAATTGCCTACATTTAGCATGTCAAATCGACCGGCACGTTATATTATTATTTGCGACACCTGTGCTGACTCTGCGATTACGAGGCCCGCAGTAAAATAGTATGCACTCAAAGCCATAAAACGAAAAATTTTACCCTGTGTTTGCACGAATATTAAAATGCCGTTGAGAAGCTTTCCCACTGATAGAAGGACTCAAACTTGGGAACGAGAATAGTGATAAATTACATTGTTTTTGCTCTTGAGTGAGCATAAAACTCACTAGTGTTTTGTACTTACTTATGTCAGTTGTTTAAATAATATTTTGATCTTGCTTAAACGAATCCTGCCCAAAAACAAATTCTGCTGCAAATTCGCATGCCATTTCGCAAAAAGGTTTGTAAAATCACTAGATATATGGTGCAAACAGGACACTGCAATTTGCAAAKAATGCAMCTTGCAATAAACATACAGGGSACTAGACTAAATCATATTCAGGGACTAGWCTAAATCATGTTTGAAAATTATATAAATACATAATTTTCAAATATGATTTACATTAAACATCTTAAATATCCAGKATCGTTATGATTGCATTTTATATTCATATTTAAAATATATCGTATATTTGATGTCCACTCAAGGACAACAGAAACCGGTCACCCAAAATTTACTACACTTGTATTTAAGATCTTATGCTTTCTATATGAATATTGATGATTTTTGACAGTAGTAAATGTTTAATATTATTCTTATGCCAAATCAAAATCAATTATTGTCTATTTATCAATTAAAATACTTTTCGGTGTTTTCCACCATCATCAGTTTCTCTAAAATAACAGATAGTAAGAAAAAAATGTTTTCATTAATTTAAAAAACAATCACAGTTTGTCAACAGCTTCATCATATCACACATTAAAATACAACACAATTGCAACACTTTAAGACATTCTAAGATTAATTAAGCCTAACAGGTGATTAGTCAGGACAATCAATTCTGGGAAGAGACTAGAATTCTTTGTTCAAATACTCAATTATTTTGACTTACATGTGTAGCGTTGTTGCTACTTTAATCCTTGGAATATATTTGGAGTATTCATTTTGTCCATTTTGCACACAAAGCGAAATACTGTTTATATTGATTGGTAACAAAATCAAAATTTTTGTGTTATCAAAATCAAAATTATGCAACTACTGTTGTGCATGCTGTGCACAAAAATACTGATTAACGAGCGTAATTATAATAAGAGAAGAGTCCATGAAATGATACAGATTAAAAAACATAACAATGCTATGAATTTCAGATCGGATACCGACAATTTTAGCTCAGTATATCATACATTAATTAAATGAAATAAACATAGAATATTAACTAACACCCGGCATATTAAAGAATTTTGCAAACCAAAAATAAAATTCTTAGAATGCAAAGAAAAATACCTCAAAGTAAAATAAATCAACATAAACAGTATTTCGCTTTGTGTGCAAAATGGACAAAATAAATACTCCAAAAATATGCCAAGGCTTAAAGTAGCAACAACGCTACACATGTAAGTAAAAATAATTGAGTATTTGAACAAAGAATTCTAGTCTCTTCCCAGAATTGATTGTCCTGACTAATCACCTGTTAGGCTTAATTAATCTTAGAATGTTTTAAAGTGTTGCAATTGTGTTGTATTTTAATGTGTGATATGATGAAGCTGTTGACAAATTGTGATTGTTTTTTAAATTAATGAAAAAATTTTTTTTACTATCTGTTATTTTCGAGAAACTGATGATGGTGGAAAACAACGAAACGTATTTTAATTGATAAATAGACAATAAATGACTGAAGCCCAGGAATTGACTTTGATTTGGAATTGAAAGACAGTCAGGAAAGTATGTACAATTATTCTTATGCCTATGAAGTATATCTTTTTCTTGATTGGTGTTTCTATTCGTTTCGTTGGTTATTAATAAATTTATTATAGGCTTTATTAGAGCCCATAAAGCACATGTACAAATGATGGCGCATTGATTGCAAACAGTGCATCTCTTCTTCCTAGGTCTCTAAGGAATCCGGAATGTACTCCTAAGAAAGCCTATCAAAGATATTTCAATATGGTTTTAAAATACTGAATCTTCTTAATTTTCTTCAGCATGTACACAAATCTTCATACAAACCCCCATAATTTCTCCGCTACTCCAAACGTTATTGTGAAAAAAATGTCCGTTGCTAAATGGTTAGCGATGTATTAGCTAAGCAAAGAAATAAATAAACACGTTAATCAGCAAACAAAAAGAAGAACAAATAATCTGTAAATGGCGTGTTTCCGAATCATTTTGCCCGATCTGGATACATTGGATGCATTATTTCGAGCCTTCGCGTTCATTCGTAAAAAGTGCGAGAATATTTCCGTTCCAGAAGTGATGATCATAATTCGACTGCTAAATGAGATTTAGATAAATGGAACCATTTCTTTTATAAATGGCTCGCTTGTTTCCGGTAAATCTTTTATTCAGTTACTTATCAGCAGCTGGAACAGATTGGTTTCAATATTCTCCCAACGCATGTGGAAAAATAACTGAACATATAGTCAAATATTTTTTTCGTGAAGCCGTTTCATGGTACATAAAAAGACTCTAGTTTGTATTTTTTTTATTTCAGGTAAGACACATTGCGGAATATCAAAGAGCCATACCACTAACAACAATTTACTGGTAAGTGTATAAACAATTTCACATGATATTCTTGAATTTATGAAATGTCTTGACAAATTCTTCTTACATTGTGTTTGCATCTGAAACCAGTTGCTTTGCATCTGAAACTATCCAGAGATTTTCTGGTATGACAAAGCGTATAACTATGTGTTATAACGTACGTTCGGAAACTGTTTGCTCTGGAGAATGACTAGTCCGAAGGGATGTTGCTGAAGAACTCAAATAGACGCAGACACTTGACAAATTTATATTTTCTATTCACTAAGGTGGCAATTTGTCAGCATGTTTTGACACAACAACTAATATACGTACATAATATTTAGTTATTTTGACGGAAGCAGTTGAATTGGGAAGCAGAAAAGTTATTATTTGATCTCTTTGGGAGTGGCCGAGGCAAATTTCAGTAAGTCTGTGAGTCTGTGTTTTCAGTGCACCACAAAATTGTTCGGTTCTGAAAACTTTTTTGGGTATTTTGCCTCAAAATTGTTGTCTTTTAAAGTCAGAATTTCCCAACGTCTTCTATTTACATTTTGATAAAGAGTGCTCAAGCTGCAAGAGAAATTTTCGAGTCACAAAATAAATTAATTTAGAAAAGTTACATTAAAGTTTCGATGGCAAATCTGCTACCGTTCTCAAGAAAGTATCTAACAAAGAGTATGTTTTGTCTCAGTTTTCTTTTCACAAATTTGTGACTTTGAGTTGATCTCATAGTTTAAAGAAAATAAAATAAAATTAATTACGAATTTTGGTGCAATTTAATTAAGGTATACGTTTCTTGGTCTACTTTAGATTTTAGCAAATGCAAGCGTATGGCTTAAATGAAATGACCAAGTGGCAACACAATTATCCAAATTTAGCGAAATTAATACTATTTCCTTTAATTTTACGCTTTTTATGGTTCCGTTGCTAAAATTTTTGAAGCAGCCCATTGGTTTTTGATGAAATTATCAAATGCATGTTGACAAATATGTAATTTGTGAAATTATTTGTTTTGTATGTATGATTAGGGTTGTTTAGTTACTTTATTTGATTGGTATTGTGACTTCCCGCATAGACAGTTTATCACATTGGAAAGCAATTTTATAAATTACGTTTTTCCAATTTTCAATTTTATCATAAAATTTGTTTATTATTTTTTTCTCCTAATTTCAGTTTCAATTTAGAAAATAGTTTTAGTATCCAATCGTATTGAAAACGACCGACTCGTTGAATTCTATCTGAAATCTTCGGAATTAATGTAAAAAACTATAATATATTTTTGCTATTAAATATCAATTTTTTCCATTTGCACGACCAAATAACTTTCTAAAAATGCCTCCAGTTCATTATTGCTTCAAAAGCAGTCAGAATGCGAATACATCTAATGAAACCTCATAGATTTTTCCGGTAAAGTCCTCATATTATAACATAAGGACTTCAAAGGCAATGCCTTAGGTGTTATATTGCATTATCACATTGAGCCCTCTTTCATCATGATATGCGAAACCAACTTCCCAAATGATGTTTTCTCCCGGATCGCATAAGGCCGGTTATAAAGTGATATACATTGCAAAATTATTTCATAGCCTCGTTCTTTGAAGGAGAACTAATTTGTACCGTTTACAAAGAGGGCATGTGACGAGGGTCCATAATCAGCTTTCATCTGATTTTCATAGCTCTCTTGTGTGGCGCAAGCAATGCTTTAGATAAAGGGCATCAATGGGGAACTCGACGTAAAATATTTAGAACATGCTTTATCAATTTATGTTCTATAAGTGCTGAAATTAAGAAACTTGTTTAGATTTCACTAGCTACTTCTTAGGTCCGAACTAGCTGGTAAAATTTTGCTTGAGCTTTTGCATTGCTTTGTAGATTTTCGCTTAAAAATGCGAACAGTTTGAACATTTGCATCTCGCCATACGTACTAGATCGATCAAAAATATTTATGAAATCAAAATCACTTAACACAGAAAATGCATTTCTGTCTAATTAAGCAGACATGTATTTTCACAATTGATTAAATGTTGCTATTTGATAACGTTCGACTATTGAAATGAATATATTGCCTGAAAATAAAATCACATATTTATTTGGCTTAATTGCTAGCGAACCGAGGTCGAGTCCGATGTGTTTATTTTTACTTTCGTCAATTTCACTAGTCCCCACAAATGGAGTATGTCGTGAATTGTCAGCATTATTAATTTTTAGGCGGGAATAATTGATTTAATTTACGTGTACACATTTTATTTACAAAAACATTGATATTGTCATAATAAATTGAAGACGATCTATATTTTCAGTTCCAGTTAAATCATTGAACTGATCTCAGCATATTACATTGATGACACATTCATAATGCAGAATTATTTGTGCATATTGTTTAATGTTTTACTCAAGGGGCTAAAGTTTCGTTTTACTAGGCAATTACTGCAAACTCAGAAACCGGAATAAAGGAAACTTCGTTTTCGAGAAAATGTCCTTTAAAAGAAATTTATGGTTAACAAGCCAGATTTGCCTCAAGATAAAACGCACCCTGTCCTCTTTTGCAAAGTAAACAACACGCTTTAAAACTGTGTGATTGTGACACAAATAATTTAGGTCTTTCAAGTGTCTGCTTATTATTATATTGTTCAACGCCGATCCCTATGGGCATCTCGCCTAACGTATTCTCGGGGGCAAATGTTTTCAGACCGTATTTTACGCTAGTTACAAATGACGTTCTGTACAAGGGAAGTTTTCCTCACCGCTTGCGCAAAGTTGTATATATTTGCTGACATTATTTCCTAGACTTCCTCTTTGACGATGAATTTTAAACGTCTAATTATGGTGGTAATTGGTTGTGTAAAGTGAAAAATGTTTTTCACTTTGTAGAGTCACGCAAAGCTACATTTCAAATTGGTCTGGAAAGACGACCTTCCATCCAAATGGATAATTGCTTTACATAAATCAGGGTTTTTAGTGGAAAAATCTGCTATTGACACACACTTTTTCGTTCAAGCGGTAATGACTGAACTTGCGGCGATTGGAATAATTTAGAAAACGCGCATGTAATTTATGGAAAGATCGGGAGTGATTTGGAAATGTTTAAAATGTTCTTAGAGAAGTTTAAAGATAGCATTTTATTATTCGATGGAGATATTTGTTATTTTTTAGTAATCCACGCATTCTTCACAGAGGTTAACATTTTCATAATGACCCTATTATTATTAATATAATGAAAATTCGTAAGAAAGTCAAGAGGGTTAATTGCCATATAGGAATTAGTTTTATGACTAAGCGTTTTTCAGCGATTTCCCAAAACTTCCATTTGCTATTGCCCAAAAAAAATTACAATATGTGGAATATACATATATTAGAAATTATACATATTTTAACGAAATTAAATCTATTAAAATATCATAAAACGTAATTAATCGAAATAATTCCTTTCACTTGAAATATGTACGTTTTTTGGGCATGAGCTGTAAGAAAGCTATTTTCTTGTATAAGCAAATTTATGTGAACATTGACATTGCAGATTTCAAGAAAAATTGTATGAGATATCATAAAAGTAAGATAATAATAATAATCATGGAGAAAATTTTTGTTTGCCCAGTGACAATATATTTTACACATTATTATCGCATTTCTTGAGCAGTGGGAAATGCAAATGAAAGTTGAATCTGTAGTCATATCAAGACAGAAAATTTTATTTCAGAGAGACTAATCGTACCAGGAAAAATAAAGGAAAATTATTTGGTTCAGATTATTTGCAGCAACTTTACTTTACAAAAATGAACTGAATTCGGCTTTCAAATGTTCCTGTCGCGATTTTTCTACAATATACTGCAAACAACAAAACGTCTTTACACAATAACGTTCCAGTTTCTCAATCAGAACTGCCGGGTCTATTTTGTGACCAAAACTATTAAAATTAATGGATTTTTCTGATAACTCTAATGATTGTTTTTAATGATAAACTTTTCATTTCTCTGGAAAATGACCTATATATAATCTAGTGAACTATTATTGCAGGGCAGATAAAATGAAATGTAATGGGCAAAGTATCCCAAGCGGCATTTTAAATATCAATGATTACAATCTCACTAACCTAATTATGTAATTTTCGATGCGTCATTTGGCCGGCTCGTTTTGGGACTCCGTACAAAATGCCATTTGATATTTTCCGGAATCGTTCCGGTGCTCTGCGGCGTGACTCCGGGTTAATTTGCAAATGCCCGTTTTACATAAACTTGTTTTAATCACGAACCGAATTGAGGAAATGAGGCTACCCAATAATTAGACCTGTGCTTCTGACAAATAGTCGGAAAAATGTCGCTTTACATTTGTTATTTATGTGACGTCGGACTTTGATTAATTCAGAAATGCTTTTAAGGTTTTCAATTTTTTATTTGAAAAAACTCATTGAAAATTCGGCCAACTGATCGAGAATTCCTACTACAGCTGTCAAGGTTAAGGCGGCGAATTCAGAAAAAGTATTACCACCGGCGACACGAAAAAGATACACACAAAACTGCAAATACAAAAGAAACCTTCAACCATTTCACAATATCTCAGTTAAACTTTATCGGCCATGCTGAAACTTATTGTTTTCTAAGATTTGCCTATGAAATCGAATGACCTACATGGAAATGAACAAGTTCTGAACATGCAAAAGAAGGCGAAACTCATTTATATTCACTTTCCTGAGCATTTATTTAGAAAATTCCACTGCAAGGGTGCTGGGTAATATTAAATTCCAATTTGAAACTTAGTGCCGGAGCGGCAGGATGTAGCTAGCTGACTTAGCTAAACGTTTTACACGCCGTTTGCTCAAGATAAGAATGTATACACCATATCGTTATCGCGACCAAAGCTTTATTCTCAGCGACTTGAAAGCCAGTGCAGGAGGTAACTGCTTTTTCCGCTTCTGCCAAGAAAAAAATTGATAGAGAAGAATAATGGGTACCGGGGATTAGATAAGTCCTTCTCTCCGTCAAGATAATTTGTCGCAAAAAAGGGTGTTTGTAAATCAGATAAGTATTCCACTTGAGCGTCAGCAAAGGGTGGTGGTGACAAGATTGAACGCGGCAAAATCCTATAAATTTAACAGAATAAAAGCAGTACAGCTATTAATGATTCTGCAGAAGGAAAAACGCGCTATCTTGGATTTTCCACAACAATGAAATGTCCAATTAAGTTAAGGTGCACTATAGGGAATATTAATGAAATGGGACTGGCGGATTTTGTATTTATATTAAAACTCCTTTGAGAAGGAAATTCATTATTTGAAACCGCACCATATCTTTTCATCC